GGGGTTTTCCGTCGGCGGCGGGTGGAGAGAGAGAGGGGGGGGGAATAAACGGCCGCCGTGTTTTTATTTTTTTTTTTTTTTTTTTTTTTTTTTTTTTTCCCCCCTGTTGATAAATCTTTAAGCCTGCCGCAGTATTCCGCTTCTTCTGTATGCGATCGACGTACGGTGTCTCGTCGGGTAACCGACGACATTATGTTTGCACGTCGGCGGCGTGGGGGAAGATGGGCGATCGTGTATGTAACAATAAGCTGCATGCCCCGCGTACTTGAATGCAGTTTGAATTTTGCCACGTCATCGTCGACTTCATTTTTAAAATCAGCGGAATCATGCCGTCGATGCACTTCGAACATGAAACAAATATAACGTATAAAGTATTTGTTTGTTAGATATTACACAATAAGCGTGTGCAGCTGTTACAGCGGCGTATTTACGATTCGAATTTTTTTTTGTGTTTTTCAGGAGTACGGTGCATTAACACACAATTTAAACATTTTAAACGGCCAAGTCCATCTGAACAACACCGAGGCCCACCAACACATTATACAAGTCGTGTGCCATTTAGGTGGGGAGGGGGGCTTTGCGCCGTGAAAAACCGTCAGTTTTACGTTTTAAGGTTTTGTTCAGATGTCACATAATATGGTCTGTGAACACGATCAGTACAGTGAAACCTCTATTAACGGACATCCCTGAATAGTGAACACTTTTACGTTCAGCGGCAAAAATGTATGTACAAAATGGGAGTTGTAGCGTACTGACAGTGGACGCGGGCACTGAAAACTGGTAACAAAATTTGAAAATTACCTCTTATAAATGGACACAATACACGCACACACCGAAAACGTTTGAGCGACAAAAATACTATACATATTCGTTTTTTTTTTTTTTTTTATACACTCCGTTCATATTTTATCCGATTTTAAGAGGACGTTATCCCGCGTTCTACTGTCCCAGTCCGACTGCCGGGTAACGTACAGAATGTTCAATGTTCACGCAGAATAAGTAAAACTAGTTTAATTTTGATTTTAGAGTAATGCATGTAGCATGTGCACAATCGATTCTCAATAGCATCTTCCCGCAATGGGCGTTTTGTAAATTCTCGCAAATGTCCACCATGCGGAAGTTTTCTCAACAGCGGCGAACTCCGTACAGTGGACATTTTTTAATTCCCCGTGGCTGTCCGCTGCACAGAGGTTTCAGTGTACCGTGTTGGCAATAAAATTCAGTTACGTTAAGAAAACCGAAAGAAACCATTAATAGAGTTAGAGGATCATTTGAAAAATTAAGACGTCGGATGAGTTTCCTAAATTTCGGTATAATTAATGCAAACAGATCGTTCGGGTACAACGGCTATAATCCTAATCTGTTAACAATAAATAATAATCGTTTGCTATTTATTTATAAATGAAAATTTTAAAGGGCCGATACGTAAAAGAGCTGTGCCCGCGTTTTTGAATAGTTGTCGTCCGGAAACAGTAACGGCAGAAGAAGACGGACAAACCGTCTCGTCGGTTGATGATTTTTGTTGGACGTGTCGAAAGCCGAAATGACGGTCGTTAATAACCGCCTCTGCCAACTAACATTACAGTATAGGATTTGAAAGAAAGAAAGAAAGATGGAAAAAAAAAAAATAAAAAAAAAAAACAATAATAATAATATTCCTTTCCAAACGTGCGCAAGCCGCAAGCGTGCAGCGTGTAGCGTAATACGGACGTTTGCCGGGGCACCCCGGCAAATCGCGTCTCGTCCCGGCGTCGCGGTTGGGTACCAACTTTTCTGGACTGCGTGTAACCGCGGTCGCAGTAAACGTAGAGCGCGGCGCCGTTGCACAGGAACACCGCCGCGACGCACGCCAACGCGTCGTAACGGCCGTGCCCGACGAGCGTCGCGCCGCACGCGGCCATCGCGTACGCGGTCGAAACGACGGCGGCGGACGTGTAAAATATGCAAAACGTAATGGTGGCCGGCACGCGATCGCCGGCCTCGTGCACGAGTCTGCTCATCCGTATCCAGAGCAAACGGTAATCCTCGACAGCGTGGCCGTGTACGGGACCGCGGTCGGCGTCCTGCGCGTTACAAACGGTGTACCGTGAATTAACGGGGCGAACGGTAACGGCGCGTGATCGCCGGCAGCGGATTTTCGACGTTTTTCCGGGATGGGGAGAGATAGTGGGGGGGGGGGGTGGTTCCTGAAAAACCGTATGTATTTAAAACGGCACGCGGCTCCGCCACTGACAGATGCCTCTTTTACCGGACGACGTTCTGTTGAAATTATATTAGTGTCACCCTCCCCCCCCCCTTTAAATCCGCCGCCGATGATGTTACGCGTGTACGCCTGTTGTACGCATTTACGTGTTGTTGCGATTGATTGAACGTTATTTAAAAATGGGTATTCCGGCCGGAAACGCGGACCGAAACGCCGGCGAAAATAGGGCACGGGGCGCTTGCACGTCGGGCGTCACCGGTTTCCGTCGAAATCGACCTGTCCGTTCACCGCCAGTATAATAATTTGTATTTCCATTATCGGCCGCGGCCAAGTTTCGGGTTTGATGATTTGATAAGCCGTTTTTGTAAGAATTGAAATTTTATAATATCACAGATTAGGAAATACGGTGACAAATCTTTATAACGGACCCATTAAAAGGGCAAACGATTTTTTTCTTTCGTTACGGAGAGTTTTCGTAACAGCGAACGAGAAGAACGCTAACGCGCGGCTGTTATAAAGGCGAACCAACCATTACGGAATAATTTTTAGTAAAAATTTAGTAGTCATTTTTTACGTTACACAGAGTATTTTGGTTTAAAAGAGTTTCGTTATAAAGCGTGTTCACCGCAATATCAACAGGAACGATTATGTCCGCAGTGCATAGACGCGATAACCGACTATTATTCTGTTAAGATTAGATAAAGTGTTGTAGTGACTCTGTTTTTTATCGATTGTAGGAGATTACATTTTTAGTTTACATTGAGACTCACGAGAAACAAGTACATTCGTGCGATAATGGAAAGTATAATTATTGAAAGTAATCGTGGTGGAAAAAAAAAACAATTGATTTTGAATAATTTTAAGCTTTTAATTGTTTCGTGTAACAAAGAACTTGTGCGTTGGCGGATGTACAACTAAAAACTGTATAGCAAAAGTGTACACTGTGTACAGATCAAAAACAATACGGTTTATAAAAACAATAGAAATACACCACAGCCCAATGAAGAAAAATATTCCAGCCGAGAATTTGAGAAACAAATAGTAAATACAGCGCGTCAGCGTGTAAAAAAAAATTTATTGCAAATGTCACAAGACTAGACAAGAATATTTGTTTACGTCGACGGGTCACCAAAATATAAAAAACCGAAATCCGTTGTGCCGGAAAATGGAATACGGGGTTAGATCGATTTTGGCGGAAAATTGAATCACCCACGTGATTTCGTGGCTAATATTACAAGCCATCGGGTGGTGGGGGGAGAGGTGGACGCCGTTGAGAATTGAACGTGTGACGTAATAATGTTATTACGTTACACGCGTACCTACACGATGGTAATTAAATTCACGTTCGCACGCAAACAATGAAAAATCAGTGTAACGAATCTGATTTCCTAAGCGACG